CATTTACATGATATTATACAACATGTCAACACCATGTTCGTTATTTTTTAAAGAAAAAAAAAACATTTAATAATAATTAAAAATTAAAAATTTTATACAACCGACTTCAATATATATTATTAAGAATAACTCAAAAAGTATTGGTCAGTCCTTGATCAAATTTATACGGAACTACGTGAAAAGCAACAGCTTTCAACTAAAAAAAGAATTATCGAAATCATTCCACGTATAACAAAGTTATGAGGTTAAGATCACACACATAAAAAAGAAACATGCAGTCGAATTGAGTACCTCCTCCTTTTTGAAGTCGGCAGAAAAGTAAAATCCGATTTCAAAGAACAAAACATAATAAAATAATTGCTTCGTCATGGCTTTAGGGTCAGATCACACCGAAAAGTGACGTAACGCGACGCAGCGTGCACTTTTTAAGATAGTGATACAAAATATAACCTTATTTGCCACACAAAAAGATACAAACTTTATTAAGATAATTCTAAAATGGCCTGCGGCTTTACGCTATGCCGTGGTGCGCCTTGAGATGCCTATGTTTTTACTATTTTCATGCTGCGCTACGCGGTGTCTCGTTACGCAGCGAGGACTTCATGATGCGCTTCGCGACATTCCGATGCGTTTCGCGGAGGTGCCCTGCGCGGTGCGAAACCATTGGCCTCGTCAAGCATCGTCACTTCGTGTAGTGTGTCTGTGTGGACTGACTCCTAGTTTTTCTATGTCTTAGCACCAACTTCACATTGTGAAAAAATTAGTAAATTTACTTCTTTTCAGTTGTATTTTACTTTCTATTAAAATATATTTTGTGTACTATTTGGAGTGGACCGAGAAATATCTCAATAATTTCAATGTCGTCTTCATAGTTACTGTTCGTTCTACTACAATATATACGCAAACTTGTTATTTTAAAGTCAGTCGCAATTAAAGAATCAAAGTGCAAAGACATAGTGGTTTTCTTTTACACGTGATACAAACATAAGTGCACCTTAATTACATTAACATATGGTCGCAATCGAGCCGGAGCGATCAGCGAAAAAGGGTCGAGTGCAGGAGCAGGTAAAAATTCCGGCCGACCGCGTGAACAATGCCGAGAATTCAATTACCGACATTTAGTGGTAATTATGAAGAATGGCCGACCTTTGAAGATTTGTTTACCTCACTTATACATAACAATAAGACGATCGAAGACGCACAAAAATTACATTATTTAAAATCGAGTGTAAATGGTGAAGCAGCTTCATTAATCCGACATATTCAAGTTACTCACAAAAATTATACGCAGGCTTGGGAGGCGTTAAAAACAAGATACGGTAATAAACGCTTAATTGTTAACTCAGTGCTAAAAAGATTGTTTCTCAGTGTTATAAAAGTGAATCTGAAGATTTGCCGACGTGGAGCGACTTAACAAAATTTCTTCAATCAAGATATCGAACTTTAGAACTTATTTCATCGGGCCCACGAGAGAAGACCATTAAAGAGCAATCTTTCCACGTTAGCACCGCTTCATCATACAAATCTATTGAATCGTCAACGTCAACCCTGCCGCGGTCGTCGGAGAAGAAATGTATTATGTGCAACGATAACCACACGTTATGTCACTGCAAGGAATTTACCAACCTGCAACCTTCACAACGAGCGGATTATGTGAAAAAACACAATTTATGCTTCAACTGCTTACTACCGGGACATGCGGCTCATAAATGTCGACTCCGTATGTTCTGTCGTATATGCAATAGACGTCATCATTCTCTTCTACACCAAGCTGAAAGGAAAGAAATCACTACAACTACCATAGAAACATCACACCAATCAGCGTCACACTGCAACTTAGAAGAGAGGGAAGACATTCAAGTCAATTCAATGATAGCGTCACATCACACTACCAAGCAAGGCATTGCATTATTAGCAACTGCTATGGTGAGCGTTCGAAGTGAGCAAAATTACACCATGGTGTTACGAGCGCTCATAGACCAAGGATCGCAGGCATCATTTATAAGCGAAAGAGCGGCTCAAAGATTAAGGCTCAAGAAACAACCTGCAAGAGGAACTGTCGTAGGAGTGGGGTCTACTAGAACAAATGTAAATCACGTGGTACAATTTCAAGTAAGTTCCCAAGATGCAACTCATTTCAACTTACCTGTTAAGGCGTATGTAATGTCGAAGCAACTTACCACGAAGATACCCGCTAGAACAATTGCTGCAACTCACTGGTCACATTTAGAAGGTCTGAACCTGGCCGATCCAAGCTACTATGCACCAGGTTCCATTGATTTACTTCTTGGAGTGAAGGAATACGCACAGATATTACAACCAGATTTAATCAAGGATCCACCGGGTACTCCAAGCGCTCAGAAAACAAACCTTGGCTGGATCTTATTCGGAGAGGTCGATGCAAGACACGTTCTTAGTCATGCACCAACAAGTAGAAATAGATGAAGTTTTAAAATCAATATGGGAAGTAGATACAGATACAAAAAGAAGATTGACTAGAGAAGAGCAGTTATGTGAAAAGATATACGCAAAAACACACAAAAGGACCGAAGAAGGGAGATATATGGTGAAATTGCCGTTTAATACTGACAGACCGAGATGTACAGAAGTAAATACAAGGGATATAGCAGAGAAAAGATTGCTAAAACTAGAGAGACGATTCAAGAAAATGCCTAAACTAAAAGAGGACTACACTAATGTTATAAAAGAATATCTGCGTCTACAACATATGGAAGAAAAGGAAACCTGAGAAAGAAAAGGAAAAAGAAAAATGTGTATACTTACCTCATCACGCGGTTCTTCGTGAAGATAAAGAATCCACGAAAACAAGATTGGTGTTTGATGCTTCCTGCAAGGGGTCGAATAATGTCTCTTTGAACGATGAACTTCTCGTAGGTCCGCCACTGCAAGAAGATCTTCGTAACCTAATAATAAGATGGAGAATGAAAGGCATATGTTACATGAGCGATATACAGAAGATGTACCGTCAAATATTGGTGTTCCCCGAAGATGCTGATACTTATCAACGAATCCTTTGGCGCTCAGACGCATCCGAAGATATCAAGGAGTATAGAATTCTTCGCGTGACTTTCGGTACAGCATCTGCTCCCTACCTTGCGGTTCGAACTCTTCATCAAATCGCTGATGATGAAGGTAAGAATCATCCCAAAGCAGCTCAAATAATTAAAGAAGATTTTTATATGGACGACTTGATGGGTGGAGCCGATACTGTGGAAGAAGCTGTAACTGAAGCCAAAGAAGTTGATGAGATTGTAAAGAAGGGAGGTTTCACTCTGACTAAATGGGCTTCAAACAATCTTGACTTCATGCAATCCATCAAACCAGCAGATCGATCTAGGAGTGCACATTTTTATTTATTTATTTATTTATTTATTTATTTATATTTTAACCTCAACATTGATGGAACCGTAAAGGCCTTGGGTATTAAATGGAATATGGGTACAGATAAATTTAAATATGAAGTTATCTTACCAACCATTCAAGCAACTGTCACCAAAAGAAGTGTTTTAACCGACATACAGAAACTCTTTGATCCGCTTGGTTGGATAGCGCCAAGCATTGTTATGACGAAGATTCTTATTCAAAAATTGTGGCTAGAAAGGTTGAACTGGGATGACAAAATCAGTTTACATTTGCTGGACGAATGGCTTACTATCCGATCAGACTTCCAACAAGTCAACGAGATTGAAGTCGATAGATGGATTGGTACAACGAGCAAAATGAGCGACAACTTACAGATTCATGGCTTTTGCGATGCTTCAATGCAAGCATACGCAGCGCTTGTGTATGCTAGGATCAAAACTGAAGACGGAACAGTCAGAACAAAATTGATTGCTGCCAGAACCAGAGTTGCGCCATTGAGAACGATCTCGCTACCTAGATTGGAATTATGCGGCGCTTTGCTGCTGGCTCGTCTGCTCAAGCAAGTTGCACAAGCAATGAGAATACCATCATCACAAATATTTGCTTGGACAGACTCATCAATTGTTCTTGCTTGGCTTGCAGGAGATCCACATAAATGGAAACTGTTTGTAGCGAACCGCGTGGTCGAAATAGTAGAGAATGTACACTGCAATAGATGGCATCATGTGGATTCAAAGAGTAATCCAGCGGATATAGCATCAAGAGGTATGTTACTGTCAGAATTGAAATCATGTAAGCTCTGGTGGACAGGATCAACATGGTTGCTAGAAAGGGAAATCCTATTTTCTAACAACCAACCTAAAGAAACTGATTTAGAATTGAAGAGACCTAAAATACAAGTTAACATTAACATTAGTGAAGGTGAAGAAGAAAAAACAAAACAAAAGAAATTAATAGAACAACTAGAAAATTTTGAGACACTACAGGAAATGCTTAAGATAATTACATATTCCCGTAGATTTTTAAATTACAAGAAAAATTCAAATAAAATTCCAGAACCGCTTAAGACAGAAGATTTGGATAGATCATTGAAAGCATGCATAAGACTCGTACAAGGCGAAGAATTTGCGGAAGATATTCAAAGATTAAAGAACAACAAGCATGTAAAAACTAACAGTTATTTGAAGAGTCTGAATCCCTATTTAGACGAAGTGGATATTCTCAGGGTGGGCGGTCGCCTTCGACACTCTGAGCTGGAACAAAAACATCCGACAATACTGGGCACAAAAAACAACTTAACGCCATTGATTATCGCCGATGCTCACTCCCATACGATGCACGGTGGTGTCCAGTTGACATTATGTTACCTTCGATCTAAATATTGGATCCTGAAAGTAAAAAGATTGGTTAAGAAGCATATCCACAAATGTTTGACCTGTGCCAAACAAGGAGCCACAGTAAGAACACAGATGATGGGAGACTTACCTAAGGAAAGAGTGACACCAGCTCGAGCATTTTTAAATAGTGGAGTTGACATTTGTGGACCCTTTCTAATTTTGAATAATAAAGGCAGAGGAGCCAGAACAAGAAAAGCATACATTGCACTCTTTATATGCATGTCAACCAAGGCCATCCACCTTGAGCTGGTTGGTGACTTGACATCCGAAGCTTTCATCGGTGCGTTTAGAAGATTCGTAGCCAGGAGAGGCAAATGTGCTCATATGTGGAGCGACCAAGGTCGTAATTTCATCGGTGCTGATAGAGAGCTACAAGCAGCTTGGCGAGAAGCTGATTTGGACTTTGAAGGGAACATAGCTGAGACCTTGGCATTAGACGGCACACAGTGGCACTTTATCCCGCCTTACAGCCCAAATTTCGGAGGGCTGTGGGAGTCTGGCGTCAGATCAGTTAAGTACCATTTGAAGCGAGTCCTATCTATAAACCTTACCTTCGAGGAAATGACCACCGTTTTATGCCAAATTGAGGCTTGCCTGAATTCCCGACCGTTGAATCCAATAGACACAGATGATCCTGACGTTGTAGAGACATTAACACCTGGACATTTTTTAATTGGTCAAGCCCCTATTATAGTCCCTTCTGTAGACCTGAAAGATACCCCGATTTCAAGCTTAACACGATGGCAACACCTACAAAAACTGCTGGGAGATTTCTGGAGACGTTGGCAGACGGAATATCTGACGAGACTACAACAACGCCCGAAGTGGCAGAGACAGCAGCGCGAATTTGAACAGGGAGATATAGTTTTAGTTAAGATTGAAGGTCTGCCGCCTGGTAAATGGTGTCTGGGACGTATTGTGGGTAAACATTCGGGAAGTGACGGTTACACCAGAGTGTATAGTGTTAAGAGTGGTAGTAACATTGTAAAGCGTTGTGTTACAAAATTATGTGCTTTGCCAATAGACACTAAATCTTAATGTTAAAGTTAATTTTAAAGCATTACTGTGAGCACAATAGTTGTCGATTTTAATTTTGTTATCAATTATCATATAAGTAATTATATTTGATTGTGTAGATTGTTTGTTGATTATGATATTTTTGGTTTATATCACTTAGTTAATTTGAGTTATTGTATTTTAGAAAGAACTAAATATTCTTTGGTGGGCGGCATGTTCGTTCTACTACAATATATACGCAAACTTGTTATTTTAAAGTCAGTCGCAATTAAAGAATCAAAGTGCAAAGACATAGTGGTTTTCTTTTACACGTGATACAAACATAAGTGCACCTTAATTACATTAACAGTTACATTTAAATAGAATAAGTGTGACAAACGAACACACAGCTCACCTTATGGTAAGTGGATGTTGTGGCCCATAGACATCTATATCTATCCTCGGCTAATATCGAATACCTCACTTCCAATAAAAAGGGTCTCCGGTTCTTTATACATACCATACGAAACACAGCAGCATTGAGCTGATATTTTACGCTGTTAGTCTGTGAGCGTGGTCTTTCCCCGGTCGAGCCGACCCATGCGTACTACAACCAACAAAATAATATAGCTACAACATAACTCTGTCATCCAAACTTTGGAAAAGTTATCCAAATTCTGGAAAAAAGTAGAAGTATGGAGGCGCAAGATTTGGTGAGTATGGCGGATGACGGAGAGCTTTCAACCGTAGCTCTAGTAACTTGGAGACCTTCTATTTTGCAGTATGAGGTCGCGCGTTTTCGTGCTAGCACGAGCGATTGACCAAAGATGGTTGGAGATGTGCGAGCTTCTCCATTATTGTGTTCAATTCTTCACGGTACACATCTGCAGTAATGCTCATTCCGTATGGTAAGAATCTTTGGTAACCAAACAGTGACCATCACTTTTCTAGGGTTAATTTTTCGGTAAAGCCATTGTTTAGGTGCTGATCCAAGATTCAACTAACTTGCTGAGCACTCATTGTAAAGTTTTTGTACCTTGCCAATTGGACGCAAATGGACTCTATGTTGGGACTATTTAGTTTTGATGCTAACATCGAAAGCAGATGCTAATTCAGCCGTAGATTAAGTATCATCAGCTTCCACAAGCGCCTGTAATTCTACATTGTCGACCAGAGTTTTTGAATGACCTCGGGGTGCAATTTTAAGGTTGAAATTTCCAAAACGGAAGCGGGAACATCAATTACAGGTGGTGTGTTTGTATGCAGTATTCACTCCGTAAACGTCGTTAATTTTGCGTCGCGTTTGTATGGCGTTGCTGCTACGAAGGTACTGATATTTCATAACTACTAGAATCTTTAACGTACCCATGATGATGAAAAAGATTCAAATGCGATGAAAGCATAACGCTAATCTATAAACAACTGTATAATTTCGAAAAAAAAAATATCCATGTTTTTAAAATAAAATTTTTAAATTCGAATTCTTAGCCAAACAAATATTATTTTCATTTGAAATACCCAATACTACAGAACGGCAACTCATAGGTAAGGACCTATTATTGTTACCAACTTTAAAAATTATTTTTCATTATTATTCTACGCCTAAATTTTAGTGTAATAAATCAAAAGAATTATTTCTTTCGATTAAAATTGCGATGTAATAGCGCCATCTACTTCATTCCATAATACGTAGTTCTTTATCGAATAAAAATTGATTGACTCTTTAAGGTGGTACATTAAATAGACGCTAGGTGGTCTGAAGTTATAAAATCGTGGATATTTTTTTAAATGGTTAATTTTATTTATTTCATAAATTTGCTAATTTTTTAACTGTTTATTTTAACAGTCAAAAGTTTTATAAAGCACCGCACAAACAGAAGACTTATTTGGTTTACGACAGTAGTCGAATAGCAGATTCAAACCCACAACCTTTTGAGTTCGCGGTCCTCACCCTGCCATTAGACTACTGTCGCTTACTACGCTGTATTCTATCTCATTCTCTCGCAAGCTAAGTGCTATATATCTATATTATGTTTCTCTTTTTTGTGTCGCTTTATCGTTTCATCTGCCGCTAACTAGCCGAAGTCCATTATCATCCATATAAGGATTAAGGGAAGAGAACTTTCTGTTTTTATCGGTAATACCATCATTAAAATATTGTGTTTGACATTTTTAATACAAATATTTAAAGCTGCTTGCAACTCCTTTGATGTCAACCAAGGAGGTTTTATAGCATCCCTATATAGGAAAAATCTTCTACACCAAGCAACCACCCGTATAAGTTTCTGTAAGGATGAAAATCTACTAATAATATAATTCTCTTCCAAATGTAATACTTCAACACAGCATAATTTCGATCTTTGTTCTAAATTAGTATCCCATTCCTATACATTTTTATTGCAAACAGAGTTCTGTTTTAACATTTTCTGATGCAGCCAATCAGGCCCTAGTTTCCATAAATATAAAGTTTCTAAAACTTCCGGACTCACACGCCTAGAAGCACAGTCAGCCGGGTTATCTTGAGATTTAACATGAGACCACTGATTACGACTGAAATGTGTGACAATCTCAGATACTCTATTACCCACAAAAGGCTTCCATCTGCTTGGGTGACTGCTCAAGCAAGCGAGCACCACTGTTGAGTCCGGCCAAACTCGTACTCTATTGAGTGGTAAGCAGAGAGTCACTGCTACTTCATATAACAGCTTAGAAAGCAAAACCGCTCCATACAGTTCTAAACGTGCTATGGAAACTTTTTTGACTGGAGACACTTTAGTTTTTGATGCTATCAAACTTACATGAACTTCGCCGTTTCCTTTTACAACTCGACCGAATACTACTCCGGCGTATACTTGGTTAGATGCATCGCAAAACTTGTGTAAATCTAAAAGTTCTTTCGTATTGGTGAATATCCATCTAGGAATACTAAAGCCTGTAAGAAATGAAAGTTTACTCCTAAAATAAAGTCACTCCTGTAACAAATTAGAAAGTAATTTTTGATCCCATTCAATACCTGACATCCAAATCTTCTGAATGAATATTTTGGCAGTAATTACTACTAGTGCTATCCATTCTAATGGATCGAATAACCAGGAAATATCTGAAACAACCTTTCTCTTTGTAACAGGAGTAGTTAATGTGGTAACTGAACACGGTACTCAAAATTGTCAGTTACATTATTCCAATATAATCCTAAAATCTTCGTGAAACTTTCATTTTCTTTTCCAACATTTAGTTCTATGTTTCCACTTTGACTTTTAACCACTTCTCCAGTTTTTTCTAATAATTTTCTACTATTACTTCCCCATTTTTGAAGTTGAAAACCTCTTTTTTGCATTATTTTATTAAGGTATTTGTACACTTGTACACAATCTTCAATTGTTTCACAACCACTCATCAGGACATCCATATAGAAGTCCTGGAGCACTCTTTTAGCTGCTGAAATAATATCTTTACCCTCATCATATGCTAACTGCTGAAGAGTACGTACAGCCAGATAAGGTGCTGACGCAGTTCCAAAAGTAACACATAGTAGCCTGTAATGGCGTAACTCACCTTCTTCGTCATGCCATAAAATACGCTGAAAATCTTTGTCACTTTTGGAAACCTCTATTTGTCTATACATCTTAACTATGTCTGCTATTAGGCATATGGGTCGTACGCGCCAACGCATAACTAAATGTCGTAACTCGGGCTGAAGAACAGGACCATCCATAAGATTGTGATTAAGAGAAATCTCGTTAGTACCAGTACATGAGCCGTCGAAAACAACTCTAAGCTTTGTTGTAGACTTATCCACACGAATGATGGCATGATGAGGCAAATAAACCGCACAAGCATAGTCCTTTTCTTCCTCTGGTACGATTTCCATATAGTTAAGATCAATATATTCACGAATAACGGCATAATATCTTTCTTTTACATCTGAATTCCTTGCCAATCTTTTTTCTAAAAGGTGAAGTAGTCGCAAAGCAATATGCCTAGAGTTGCCATATTGGCACTTCGGATCTTCCTCACGAAAAGGAAGCTTTCCAATTTATCTACCTGAATCATTTCGAGTAGTAGTATTGGCAAAAATAGTTTCACATTTTTGCTCCTCTTCGGTGAAAATTATTTTACAGGTACTAGCAGTTGGTTCTGCTTCTAATTCCCAAAACTTCTTCAATAATTTATTTTTATCAACTTGCAAATGAAAATTTAAGATAGTGTTACATTGATTTGACTCAAAACTATCTAAACATGTTGAGCTAATTTGATCAAATAAGATCCACCCCAGCCTAGTATTCCGTGCTATAGGTAATCCAGGGGGACCTTTGATTACACCATCTTCTAAAATCTGAGCAAATTACTTTGCACCAAGTAAAAGATCAATTTTTTTAGGCACACCAAATTTTGGATCTGCTAGTTTAAATTTGCCTATTTCAGGCCACATCTTAACTACAACTTTCTTAAAGGGCTGAATGAAGTGTTGTAAGTTTGTTGCGGACGTGTATCTTTGCTTCTACATTAAATGTGGGGTCATGGAGTGAACGCAACCTAATAAACACCACTAACCTTGACTTAAGCAAAGAACTGTCATCACTCCCTATTCCTGAAACTACGAGTTTTGTTGGAACCTTCTACAGTCCAAGTGCTTGAACTTCTGACTCCGTAATAAACGAAGCTTGTGACCCTTGATCCAATAAATATCGCATTGTCATTTCAATACCCTTAAGTGATTCACCTTTTACTAATGCCGTTTCTAACAACACTTGACTATGATTACTTAAAAAACCTGTGACTACTGACTCTGGCTCTGACTCCTTCTGATTTTCATGAACGGCAGTTGTTGAATTAACAGCAACATTTATACTAACTGCCTCCATATTCTCCTTGCGATTCGTGGGATTATTTACAGACTGAAGCAACGAATGATGCTTCCTTTTACAAATTTGACATCGTGAAGACAGTCTACAATTAAAGACAGAATGATTATCTCCGAAACAATTATAGCATAACCTCCTGGCTTGAGTGTAGTCCCTTCGCGATTTTACAGTTTCCTT